GTAACTAAAAAACTATAAAACATGGTTGAAGGAAATTAAGAGAACTAAATAAATGAAAAGACATCCTGTGTTCGTGTATCAAAAACTTAATATTGTTAAGATGACAACACTTCCTAAACTTAGATTCAGTGCAACTCCTATCAAAAAATCAGCTGGTTTTGGGGCGACTGGGTGGCGCAGTCGGTTAAGCGTCCAACTTCAGCCAGGTCACGATCTCCCGGTCCGGGAGTTCGAGCCCCGCGTCAGGCTCTGGGCTGATGGCTCAGAGCCTGGAGCCTGTTTCCGATTCTGTGTCTCCCTCTCTCTCTGCCCCTCCCCCGTTCATGCTCTGTCTCTCTCTGTCCCAAAAATAAATAAACGTTGAAAAAAAAAATTAAAAAAAAAATCAGCTGGTTTCTTTGCAGAAATTGAGAAGCTGAGCCTAAATTCAATTGGAATTCAAGGGGCCCAGAATAGCCAAAACATTTTTTAAAAAGAAGTACAAAGTTGGAAGACTCTCACTTTCCAATTTTCAGAACTTAATACAAAGCTACTATAGTCAAGACAGCATGATTCTAGCATAAGTTTAGACATATAGATAAGTGAATAGAATTGAGAATCCAAAAATAAACCTTCATATCTATTGTCAATCGATTTTCAACAGAGATGCTAAGATGATTCAAAGGGGAAAGAAGAGTCTTTTCAACAACTGGTGCTGGAGCAACTGAATATCTACATGCAAAAGAATGGTGGACCTCTCCCTCATATCATATGTAAAAATTATCTCAAAATAGATCAAAGATGTAAATATAAGTGCCAAACCATGACATCATAGAAGAAAATGTAGGCATAAAGTTTTGTGACTTCGGGTTAGGTAAAGACTTCTTAGATACATACCAAAGCACAAGTGATAAAAAGAAAAAAATATATAAAGTGGACTTCATCAAAAATAAAAACTTTAGGGGCGCCTGGGTGGCGCAGTCGGTTAAGCGTCCGACTTCAGCCAGGTCACGATCTTGCGGTCCGTGAGTTCGAGCCCCGCGTCGGGCTCTGGGCTGATGGCTCAGAGCCTGGAGCCTGTTTCCGATTCTGTGTCTCCCTCTCTCTCTGCCCCTCCCCCATTCATGCTCTGTCTCTCTCTGTCCCAGAAATAAATAAACGTTGAAAAAAAATTTAAAAAATAAAAAAATAAAAAAAATAAAAACTTTAAAAAAAAGAGAGGTTAGAGTGGGAGAGAGCCAAAGCATAAGAGACTCTTAAAAACTGAGAACAAACTGAGGGCTGATGGGGGGTGGGAGGGAGGGGAAGGTAGGTGATGGGTATTGAAGAGGGCATCTTTTGGGATGAGCACTGGGTGTTGTATGGAAACCAATTTGACCATAAATTTCATATATTAAAAAAATAAAAATAAAATAAAATAAATAAAAACTTTTGTGCTTCAAAGGACACCATTAAGAAAGTAAAAAGACCGGGCGCAGTCGGTTAAGCGTCTGATTTTGGCTCAGGTCATGATCTCACAGCTCATGAGTTTGAGCCCCGCGTCAGGCTCTGTGCTGACAGCTCAGAGCCTGGAGCCTGCTTAGGATTCTGTGTCTCCCTCTCTCTCTGCCCCTACCCCGTTTGCACTCTGTCTCTCATAAATAAACATTTAAAAAATCTAAAAAGAAAAAAAAGAAAGGAAAAGACAACCAAAGAATGCAAGAAAATTTGTGCAAATCATACATCTGATATGAGACTCACATCCAGGATACATAAAGAACTCTTACAACTCAAAAATAAAAAGACAACCCAATTCAAAAATAGGCAACAGTCCAGTCATAAATCATGTCAATGATATCTGTTTTTAATATAGGTGACAAAAATGACATTTTACATCTGTGATATTCCTTCTCAAAACCTACAACCCCTGTCTAATAATGAAAAACACATCAGAGAAATTCCAGTGAGGAAGATCCTACAAAAACCTGACCAGTACTACTCAAAACTGTTAAGGTCATCAAACACATGAAAGTCTGAGCAGCTGTCACAGCCTAAGAACACATGACAACAAAATGTAATATGGTATTCTGGGTGATACCCTAGAACAGAAAGGTAAAAACTTAGGTAAAAACCAAGAAAATCTGAAAAAACTATGGAATAAATATATAATAGTAATATATCAATATTGAATCATTATATACACATATATCATACTAATGTAAGATGTTAATAATAGGGGAAATTAAGTGCTGGGTAGATGGAAACTCTGTGCTCTCTTCTCAATTTTTGTATAGCTCTAAATCAGTTCTAAAACTCTAAAAAATAAAATCTATTTTCTTTAATGAGCAAAGGATTTGATTTTACATTCCCCAAAGACTATATAGAAATGGTCAATAAGCATGTGAAAAGATGCTCAACATCATTAGTCATTAGGGAAATGCATATCAAAACTACAATAAAATTGGGTGCCTGGGTGGCTCAGTCGGTTAAGCGTCCGACTTCGGCTCAGGTCATGATTTCGCGGTCTGTGAGTTCGAGCCCCGCGTCGGGCTCTGTGCTGACAGCTCAGAGCCTGGAGCCTGTTTCAGATTCTGTGTCTCCTTCTCTCTGCCCCTCCCCCATTCATGCTCTGTCTCTCTCTGTCTCAAAAATAAATAAACGTTAAAAAAAATTAAAAAAAAAACTACAATAAAATCAATACACCCACTACGACGGCTAAAATAAAAGACAGACAATAGCAACTGTTGATAAGTTTAAGAAATTGAAACCCTCAATTATTGCCAGTGGGATTGTAAAATAGTGCAACTACTGTGGGAAATGGTTTTGCCATTCCTCTAAAGGTTAAACACAGAGTTACCATGTGACCTTACAATTTCTCTCCTAAGTATATACCCAAGAGAAATGAAAACATATATCCGTACAAAAACTTGTACAAGAATGGTCACAGCAGTATTATTCAAGTAGCCACCAAGTGGAAACAACCCAAATGGCCATCAACTGATGAATGCATAAACAAAACATAGTGTATCTATACAATGGAATATGACTTGGCAATAAAAGAGAATGAAGTACTGAGATATGCTACAACAGAGATGAACCTTGAAAACACTATGTTAAGTGACAGAAGCCAGTCACAAAAGACCACATATTCTCTCATCCCATGTATATGAAATGTTTAGTATAGGTATATCCATGAAGATAAAAATTAGATTTGTGATTACCAGGAGCTGAGGTGAGGGCATAAGAAAGGGATGATTGATCATTTCAGGATACATTTCAGGATAATGAAAATGTTTTAAAATTAAGTAATGGTGATTGTTGTACAACTGTGTAAATATGCTAAAAACCACTGAGTTGTATACTATCCAAGGACAAATTTTGTGACATGTAAATTATATCTTCATAAAGCTCTTTTAAAAAGATTATATCATTCCTGTGCTCGGAACTCCTCAGTGGCTTTTCATATTAGTTAGAGCAAAAGTCAAAGTCTTTAATTGGCCAAAAGATCCTGTAAGATCTGCCTCTCCATTTGACCTCATTTATAGTTCTCCCCTGCATTTACTGTTTTAGCTTCTCTGGCTTCCTTACTGTTCTTCCACACTGTAGGCACAGTCCTGTTTGGGGGGTTGTATTTGGCTGGATCATTCTTCCCCAGTATATCCTCATGGCTTATCCCTTCAGGTCTTTTTCAGATTCACATTCTCAGTGAAGCCATCCTGATTTCCCTATTTAAAATTACAGTATAACACATCTCCCAGAACTCTCTTTCCCAGTCTTCACCTATATTTTTCTCCATAGCATTTATTTCCATTTGACATACTACAAATATTATGTATTTATGTGTCTATTGACTGTCTTTCCTCATCCAAGCATAAACTCTATGAAAGCAGGTATTTTGTCATTCCTATATTTTCAGTACATAGAACAGTGGTTGGTACATGGGAGATGTTCAATGTTTATTGAATGAATGAGTGAATGAATGAATAACATTTTACTCTTTCTGTCTCAAGTTTATCCCTGCTGCAATTCATCTCCACCTGCAAATCAGAGTGATCTTCCTACACGTGGGAATATCACCCTTTCTCAAATTCCTTCATTGGTTTCCTATTATGTTCAAGAAGAAGTATAATGAAATATTGAAGAATACAAGCCAGAGTCAGAGTGCCTTGGTTCAAAGCAATTTGCCTTTGGGCAAGGTTATTTAACCTTGTTGGTAAAATAGGAATAATTAGAGTGCCTTTCTTTTAGAGTTGTGGTAGTGATTAGATAATCTTATACATGCAAGTTTGCCTACATAGTTGCCAAACCCATTGTTTCATTAGAGGTTGCAAAATGTTGACTTTTAAAATTCTGTCACTTCTTTATCATTCATTAGCAATGATTCTTCTAAAATTTTTTAATGTTTATTTATTTTTGAGAGAAAGAGACAGACAGACAGAGCTCAAATAGGGGAGGAGCAGAGAGAGGAGACCCAGAATCCGAAGCAGGCTCCAGGCTCTGAGCTGTCAGCACAGAGCCCAACACAGGGCTTGAACTCATGAATGAAATTGTGACCTGAGCTGAAGTTGGCCATGTAACTGACTGAGCCACCCAGGTGCCCCTGGTAATGATTCTTCTGTAAGTAAATTCCCCACAATATCTTTAAGTATAGTCTATACAGTAAAGACAGGACAGGAGTTTTGTTTTGTTTTAAAATTTTTACTTATTTATTTTGAGAAAGAGAGAAAGCGTGGGCCAGGGAGGGGCAGAGAGAGAAGCCAGAGCAAGAATCCCAAATAGGATCCACACTGTCAGCTGAGAGCTGGATGTGGGGCTTGAACTCATGAACTATGAGATCATGACCTGAGCCAAAGTCACACTTAACCTACTGAGTGCCCCAAGACAGGATAGAAGTGTGATGCTTACTGTTATTTATCAATTTTCAGAGTAATGATTCAGTGCCCTAGCAACTTCCAAAGGTAACTAAAGAATACATTTTAGTATTCAAATCATTGCAGTCAGTATTCTTATTGATATTCAAATTATTCCATCTTTGGTAAGTAGGGATCCCTTTCTAGTTGGCTCCTGTATGATTTATATATTTTAAATGGACAAAAAATTAGTATCGTTCACAGTATCTTAAGATAAATTGCCTTTAAATGGGAGCTTCATTTCCAGTACTTTGAGGTCTACAAGACGTATCTGGAAAATTTACTACTGTGAAAAATGAAGACTGCTTAAATCAAATGGGAGGGGGTAGGGGGAGGACCTGTGGTTTTTCTTTTTGATTAATTGTTGTAACACTGTCCTTCGGGCGGCTGAGGGAGTTTCATGTTTTCTTTAGACATCATTAGGCTCCTGAGCTCTTGCAGGACAACTTTGATGCTGTATGAATTCTGCCATTTTGCTAGCACTGATATGGCTCTTAGGTCCACCACTCCATTAGAACTATTAACTTCATTCATACTAATTTTTGTTACAAATCTTACAAAGTGGGGTGCTTCTGGGTATTTAGGTCCACATTCTATTTTAAGGCTGTATATTCGGTTTTTGTAAATTGTTCTTGGAAGCCCAATTATCATTCCTGTCCATCTTGTAAGTATCATGTCTTCGTCACCTCCTAGACCCCAGCTAACTGTGCCATCTCCTACTCCTTTCTGGCCTTCTTCCAGTTCTTCCAACAGTCAAAAATTGCAAGGGACTTTTACTCCCGAGCCCGTGGTGGCTGCCATCTTGCGATGCTGTCGCTCCTGTATGATTTTAACACACCACCAGTAGTCTTTGATACCTTCCTTGCTTTCAGGCACAAGATACTTCAGACTCATCTTAACATTTATTTCTTTTTTTAATGTTTATTTTTAAGAAAGAGAGCGTGAACATGGGCAGGGTGGGGAGAGAGGGAGACACAGAATCTGAAGCAGGCTCCAGGCTCTGAGCTGTCAGCACAGAGCACGATGTAGGGCTTTAATTCATGAACCACGAGATCATGACCTGAGCTGAAGTCAGACGCTTAATCAACTGAGCTACCAGGCACCCCTCACCTTAACATTTGTTGTCCCAGGTCTGGAATCACCTATTCCTCCAAGGAGTTTTAGATCCTTTTTAATAGGAAATGGTATTTAGAGACTATAATTTGGACACTAGAGGGAGCTAATTGTTACTGGGTTGGAGCATACATCATTTTAAAAAAGATTCTTAATTGTTAATACACAGTTTGGATAATGCCACTGTTTTCCTTGGAAGGTTGTGTTAAAGACTAGAGAATGGAGACTTTCCAATTTAGCAAAGTATTTCACAATGAAGTAGACTAAACTTATTAATCAGAAGTTCACTATTATTTGCGTTTTTCTTTTCCTTCTCTCTCTCTTTTTTCCATTTCTCCTGAGAAATAATAGTCTGGGTTGGAAATGAGTAGGGAAGAAAAATGGTTGATAAGAGAGACTACTTTAAGGTTTGAGCAGAACATTTGCTGTAGAATTACCAGAGGCAGAGACAAAATAATTTCTCATATTAACCAAAGAAATACATAATGCTGGAATGCAAAGAAGATAGAAAATTCAGTGGTTCCTTCAGCAGGAGGTAATGGAAGAAAAGTATATAAGGTACTTACTGCTTCTTTTTGGTGCACAACCCAGAAGGGGTCAATAATTCCACAGTCGTTATAAATACTAATCTGGTAAGCAAATCAACAGAGAATCAAAGGACAAGTAAAGTAGTTTTTTTATACACCACAAGAGAACTGAACTCAAAGTTCACAGTCCACCACTGTCCTTACTTCCCTTGAAACTTAATCTTTATTTTTAATTATTTTTAACGTTTATTATTAAGAGACAGACAGAGACAGAGCATGAGCATGGGAGGGACAGAGAGAGGGAGAGACACAGAATCTGAAGCAGGCTCCAGGCTCTGAGCTTTCAGCACAGAGGCCGACACGTGGCTCAAACTCATAAACTGTAAGATCATTACCTGAGCTGAAGTCAGACGCTTAACTGACTGAGCTACCCAGGTGCCCCAAAACTTAATCTTTTTGAAGATGACAGAGCAGCATAGAAGTTCTCTGCTCATCCCTGAAATGCAACTAGACAAGCAACAAACCATTTTGCACATCTAGAAAATTGATCTGAGGATTAACACAACAATCTGCATAGAATACCTGCCACAGAACTTGGCAGGTATGTGGCAGTGGATTAGTGAACTGGGGGAGGGAGAAGCCATGGAGGGTAGGGAGCTGTTTTTCTTTGTGGAGAGAGGACAGATAAAGGGGGGAGAGTACAAGGAAAGCACTCCCCCCAAAAGCAGCTAGAGGGAAAGAGAAAGAGTGGAAGCACCCACAAGGATCTGAACAAGAAGGGAGAAAGGAAAAAGGAGAGAGTTTCAATGCCATTAGAACTCTATAAACAGGGGGGTGCAGAGTCTGAAATTCCACAGCTCAATAACTGGCCATGCTCTGGTGGGACGGGCGAATCCCCAGGAGCAGACAGTGAGGTCCTCAGGGTCCTCGGGCCACATGGGGAGAGAGGTTCTCCTGCTGAGAGGACATCTAGTAGAGGCTATGCAGCTTTCCCATGGGAAAAGGTCCCAGCAGACCCTGGAGAACAGAAACATTTGCCAGTGTTGGAACAAGGACACTAGGGTGCAGTGAAGCCTGGGTGCCAGTTGTGTGTTCTGATTTGCCATAGTTCTCTGAACTGCTGCTGCTACATGATTGCATGAACTTTTTCTGGGGCAGACTGACATCTGGACACAGTCCCTGGGCCTCTGCAGTGCAGTTGCATGAGCATTCCTTGGGGGTCAAGCTGGTACCAGGCCACTGCTTGGTGAGACTGTCCCCCAGAGGGTTGGAGGGGGCCCAAGCCACAGGGCCCTCAGAAGTGACGGGTTTGGAAACACATCCCCATCTGAGATAAAATTCAGGAAAGAGGTGCCACCTGGCTGGCTGATGACTTGGTGACCGACATTGTAGAAGTGGGGAGGGGATGGAAGCTGGAGACAAAGAAGGGTGCCTGATGGCTGGTTGGTGAGAGCACAGAGTTCTGATGCTACAGACTGCGAAGTTGTGTGATGCCATGTTCACCTCTCCCTCGCCTGCACATACACAGACACCAGAGCCACATCAATCCACCCCAATAAGCTAAGCAACACCACCTAGTGGAGAACAGAGCCATTACACCAAACCCTATCTAACTGTGCCAACCAAGCCCTAGAGAATGACCACAAGTCTCTGCCCCTGCTGAGTGTGTGTACTATAAAGTGCTTCCTAGTTTGGCTTCTAGGGCAAACTGATGTAATTTCATTCAGATTTCATTCTGTTTGATGGTCCATCTATTCATTTTTTTCTCTATTTCTTTTCTTATTCTTGGATACAGAAAGAAAAAAATTATTTTCATTTTCTGTTTTTATAAAAGATTTAAAAAACATTTTAACTGTATTTTTTGTAAATTTTTTATTGTTTTACTTTCTCATTTCATTTTATTCCATTTTATTGTATACATTAAAAATTTTTTTAATCGTTTTCTTTTTTTTCTCTCTTTCTTTTTATGTTTCCCCCCTCTTTTCTTTTCTTTCCCTTTCTTCTTTATTCTGTTAAGCTTTTTTCAACTACCAGACCAAAACACATCTAGGATCAAGCTTCCTTTATTTGATTTTTTTGTTGTTTTAATTTTCTAATTTTAATTTTAATTTTTAATTTTATTAATTCTTTCTCTTCCTCCAAAATGACAAAAAGAAGGAATTCACCCCAAAAGAAAGAACAGGAAGAAACGACAGCCAGGGACTTAATCAGCACAGATATAAGGAGGATGTCTGAACTAGAATTGAGAATTACGATAACAAGAATACTAACTGGGGTTGAAAAAAAGCATGGAATCCTTTTCTGCAGAGATTTAAAAAAGTAAAATCTAGTCAGGATGAAATTAAAAAATGCTATAGCTGAGATACAATCTCTATTAGATGCCACGGCAGCAAGGATGGATGAAACAGAGCAGTGAATCAGCGATATAGAAGAAAAAATTATGGAGAATAATGGAGCAGAAAAAAAGAGGGAAATCCAGGCAAAAGAGCATGATATAAGAATTAGAGAACTCAGTGACTTATTAAAAAGGAATAACATCTGAATCATAAGAGTTCCAGAAGATGAAGAGAGAGAAAAAGGGGTAGAAGGTTTAAGTGAGCAAATCATAGATAAAAACTTTCCTAACCTGGGGAAAGACACAAACATCAGAATCTAGGAAGCACAGAGAACTCCCATTAGATTCAACAAAAACCGACCATCAACAAAGCATATCATAGTCAAATTCACAAAATACACAGACAAGGAAAGAATTATGAAAGCAGCAAGGGAAAAAAAGTCCTTAACCTATAAAGGAAGACAGATCAGGTTTGCAGCAGATCTATCCTCAGAAACTTGGCAGGCCAGAAAGGAGTGGCAGGATATATTCAATGTGCTGAATTGGAAAAATACGCAGCCAAGAATTCTTTATCCAACAACGCTGTCATTCAAAATAGAAGGAGAGGTAAAGAGTTTCCCAGAAAAACGAAAACTAAAGGAGTTAGTGACCACTAAACCAGCCCTATGAGAAATATTAAAGGGAACTCTCTGAGGGGAGAAAAGATTGAAAAAAAAAAAAAGACCAAAAGCAACAAAGACTAGAAAGGACCATAGAACATCACCAGAAATTCCAACTCTATAGGCAACACAATGGCAATAAATTCATATCTTTCAGTACTCACTGTAAATGTCAATGGACTAAACACTCCAATCAAAAGACATAGGGTAACAGAATGGATAAGAAAATAAGATCCATCTATATGCTGTTTACAAGAGACTCATTTTAGACCTAAAGTCACCTTCATATTGAAAGTAAGAAGCTGGAGGGGCGCCTGGGTGGCTTGGTCGGTTAAGCATCCGACTTCGGCTCAGGTCACGATCTCACGGTCCGTGAGTTCGAGTCCCGTGTCAGGCTCTGTGCTAACAGCTAAGAGCCTGGAGCCTGTTTCGGATTCTGTGTCTCCCTCTCTCTCTGCCCCTCCCCTGTTCATGCTCTGTCTCTCTCTGTCTCAAAAATAAACGTTAAAAAAAAAAAAAAAGAAAGTAAGAAGATGGAGAACCATCGATCATGCTAATGGTCACCAAAAGAAAGCCAGAGTAGCTATACTTATATCAGACAATGTAGATTTTAAAACAAAGACTGTAACAAGAGATGAAGAAGGATTTTATGTCACAATTAAGGGGTCTATCCATCAAGGTCTAACAATTGTAAACATTATGCCCCCAACATGCAGACACCCAAATATATAGATCAATTAATCACAAACATAAAGAAACTCATTGGCAATAATACCATAAAAATAGGGGACTTCAACACCCCACTTAAAACAATGGACAGATCATCTAAGCAGAAAATGAACAAGGAAACAATGGTTTTGAATGACACACTGGACCAGATTGACTTAACATATATATTCAGAACATTCCATCCCAAAGCAGCAGAATACACATTCTTCTCTAGTGCACATGGAACATTCTCCAGAATAGATCATATACTGGGACACAAATCAGTCCTCAGCAAGTACAAAAAGATCAAGATCATATCGTGCATATATTCAGACCACAGTGCTATGAACCTTGAAGTCAACGACAAGAAAAAAATTGGAAAGACAACAAATACTTGGAGACTAAAAACATCCTACTAAAGAATGAATGGGCTAACCAAGAAGTTAAAGAAGAAATTAAAAAGTACATGGAAACCAATGAAACTGATCAC